AATGATTTAATTGCTACAGGAAGTAAATAAGTAAAGTAATATTTTACTTTAAACTTTAAATACATTGAGGAATGATCCCAACACTGCTTATTATGCAGATTACAATGTTTTTTTTGTTGTTGACACTGTGTTGTATTTTGCAGTGGTGTTGCACTGGGCTGCATTGTATTAAAATATATTTTGGTGTTCACCCACCTCACTACCAAACATTGGATTACATAAATCGTGTAGGTGTACCAAAAAATTATAAAAATAAAAAGTAGACAGGAAGTGCATCTGTTTTCCTCACCTATTATGTAACATAGCTTACTACATATTGACAGACAGACGAAGCTGGACATTGTTCTATAAATCAATAATCTTTATTAACACAGTATAAACAACAAACAGCAACAGAGGAGACCCTCCTGCAGAGCGTATATGGACAGTAGAGCCAGTACATCTCAGAGGGGCTGACTGAGACACAGCAAAGACAAAAGGGATGGTCAAGGTTCAGATTTCATGGTACACAAACAGTATACACAAACCTATCAGATGCATGAACCTTGCATGTTTCTAAAGCCATTCAGTCGGTTTTGCGGATGGACAAAAGATAGAGTTGAGAGAGAAGAGAGAGGAGAGAAGAGAGAGAAGACAAAGTACAGTCATGCTGAGCGACAGTTAGCTACAGTATGAAACAAGAGTCGTTACATAAAAACCAAGTAAATCATCTCTTTAGAAAGGTTCTTTTATATAAATGATTTGAAGTGTACAAAACAGTATATTACACATTTCTTGATGCATGATTCTGAGCAGGACCCAGTAGCCTACAGTACACTTCCCTTCAAAGTACTACAAACTACGCAACTGGATTACAAGCTACATACAGAATGCACTGTACTCGCGTAGCACAGCAGTCCCACATGGCATCAGGAGACTATGGGGGGAAAAAGGAAAAGATCAGCAGCATTGTCTTTTATTAAGAATACACACCTATAAAAATGCACCAGGCCTCGTATATTGCCAGTATCCCATGCGAAACAGCAAAAATGCCATTCAGACTAACCTCGGTAGCCTCAGCAAAAAGACGCTGGCCTCCCCCTCCCTTTCGCCACATACAGTTCCTATCAACACAGCAGCATGTAAACATCAGCACGGCTGCTTCATAGTTCTATGTTTCTAATGTTTTTTCTTTTTTTTTCTCCATATACATATGATAAGTTAAGGCTCTTTAAGGACCTGAGGATTTTGAACATATGATGAGGCACACAGAAGGCAAAGAATAGCTCTAGACACAGGGCTAACTGAAAGAATGAGGAGCATGAGACGGCCACGAGGGTTCGGTCGCCAGCGCAGTTCAACGGCCGAAGGTAGCGGAACCCAGGGGAGAAGCCCCTCCACGACAGCTTAGTGCTACTTCAGGTCACAAGGTCAGCAACTATCCCGCGGATGGCTTTAAGCACTTCATCGACTTTTTTTTTTTTTGGGAACTCTTGGGCGGCCTTTATCTTACAGAGGACTAGTACTAAAACATGGCATCCTAACACTTTGGCAACCAGCATGATAGATTCAGACTAATGAGTTACTGCTTGTTGTAATCATTCCATCTGTCCATACCGGCTGTAAAGGAGTCTTCTCTGAGTGCAATTATAATGTGGTCTTCAGTGCTTGTTTTGTACAGAAATGACTTCTGGAGTTCAGCAGAAAGCAATATGACGGTTTAGTGGTCTTAGGTTCGCAACACCTTTGTCTGGGTAGCAGTGTGCAGGTTTATTGTGTGAGATATCAACTAAACTGAAGCAAGCAGAAACCCATCCATCCATCCATCCATCCATCCATCCATTAAATCCATCCATCCATCCATCCATCCATCCATCCATTAAATCCATCCATCCATCCATCCATCCATCCATCCATTAAATCCATCCATCCATCCATCAAATCCATCCATCCATCCATCCATCCATCCATCCATCCATCCATCCATCCATCCATCCATCCATCCATCCATCCATCAAATCCATCCATCCATCCATCCATCCATCCATCCATCCATCCATCCATCCATCCATTCATCCAGGGACAGACAACCAAGCACACTCACATTCACACCTATGGACAATTTAGAATCACCAATTAAGCTCAACATGTTTTTTCGGACTGTGTGGGAGGAAGCCGGAGAACCCAGAGAGAACCTACGCTGCACAGGGAGAACATGCAAACTCCAAGTAAAAAGATCCCAGGTGTCCTCACTGGGACGCAAACTTCTAGCTGCGAGGCAACAGTGCTATCCACCAAACCACCTTGAAGCCCCAAATGAAGAGATCTGATGTGAAAATTAACAGAACTTTGGAGGATAGCAAGAGGACAGAGCTAGTTAATGTCGGGTTCAAACTACTTAATATGAGCAAAAATGGACGACATCTGGACTAAAAATGGGCATTAGGCTTGTTTTGTTCTCTAAATTGTTTCATGTTGCATCTTGGAATCGAATAACAACGTGTGGCAATTTTTGGACCCATTGTGCGACAGCTTCTGCTAGTTCTTCGTAAAACATCAGCGAAGTGAACGATATGCTGAAGAAGCGACAGCTCGTACATTCCTCTTGGTGTGACCCACAGACTGGTCTTCGAGGGTTATTTCAGTTTGTTGTTTTTTACAGAGCCTGGATATGTTGCCGTCTTCTTCAGTCTACTGAAGTGACGGCAATCTGCCAAAGACGTAGGTCGCTTTCCAGCTCTCTTGCTTTGCAAAGGCTCATATGGATCTTGCTGCTGTTTGAGGCAGAAGGTATTGCACAAACTGAGAAGAAAGACTTCTTCAAGAAATTGGCAGCAACACACTAAACCTCAGATCCTTGTTTATGATTTAGCTTGTCGTGGTTAAAAAACAACTCATGCGTTCATTATTGGCGAGTATCATTAATCAAAGCTGTTTTTATCGCAGTAACCATATTTTTTTAATGGATAGTTTAGTTTGAAGAATTTTCAATTTTAGGGGGAAGTGAATGACAAAGGTGTTGTCTGTGATGTTTTGGGTTAAATATTGATACTGAAATGTGGAAAAAAATCCTTCACATAACCGGAAGTACTGTTGCTTGTGTGTGCATTACGTGACTTTGTGCAGTTGTGATCGCATCTTTTACTGAAAAGTGACCAGGGTGTTGACACGTTCAGATGCCGTCAGACTAAAAGAAAGGAGGGCATGTCTGAAAAGGGATTCAGCGGGGGGCTGGAGTCTATCCCAGCTGACTGAAGCTGGTGGCCAGTCTATCACAGGGCTACACTTAGAGACAGACAACCAAGCACACTCACATTCACACCTAC